TTCTTCTTCTTCTTCTTCTTTTTCTTCTTCTTCTTCTTCTTCTTTTACTTGTAAAGTAACTTCCTCTAGTCGGGCCTGACTGACATCCTCAACCATGTCGCTCTCGTTATGTCCGTCATCCTTGATATCTTGTGTAATTCCTTCGTCGTTTTGGTCTATTTGATTTAAGCCATTATCTGAGTCTTCCATAACCTCAATGAATGTCTTGGTGCGATCTCCCTTATCAGCGTTCTCTATCTGTAAACCAAGATTAGAAACTCCTTTTTCATTTACATCATTCTTGAAAGAACCGCTCGCCTTGCAGGATTCATAGTCGTATCGACGTCCACAGTTCATGCTTTGGCGCTGTTGTGGTTCTTCTGGTAACTGTTCATTCCCAGCTGTTCTTGAGGGCATGGAATTGCCTTTCACCGCGAGCCCTGTGGGCATCAAGTATTGTGTTCGCGCGATCTCGTAGATCTTATAGTATATGAAACACATCGCAAACATTGGAAAATAAAAGTTTAAAAAGGCGCTAAAAATAGCATAGCTGGGACTGACTTTGAAAGAACAAAAATGGGCGATTTTCTTCGGTGGTTCATAGTTCCATCCCATCAAAGGTATCATAGCGAACGTCAACGAGTAGGACCATAACATGGCTATTACTAGCAACGCTCGTCTTGGTGTCATGAAAGGGGTCACTCTGAAGCGATCCCAGGGGTTTTTAAGGGTCTTGTATCGTTCTATACTCAAAACAAAGAGGTTCCATATCGATATTGGTACGGTAATGAGGTAGGCTGTACTCCAAATGCTGCAAAACACCTCCCCGTGTTTCCATCGTCCGTAGGTTATAAAGGTTTCGAGATCAAACGACATAGAAAAACAGCCAGTACATAAATCTGCTACAGCGAGAGAGACGATAAAGTAGGATGCCACATTCTTGCGAAGCTTGATGTTTATACAAACAGCAGCAATGATCAGAAGATTGCCAACGATAGTGGCCGTGATTACGAGGACGTAAAGGATCACCATGCTAACATTATATTCATTAAGGTACCATGGTACTAGCTGTGGGTAAGACGGGTACGACCCATTCGGATAACCTATTCCAGAAGAATTACTCATTTTACTTGTACTAAGCTGCTATGTGTAAAATTCGTCAGCTCTTGGTCGATGTATCTACTTGATATATCGGATATTTCAACCTTTCGTGCTCAAGTTTTCATGTGTCGTGTCATGCAACTGCTGAGAGGTTAGAGAATAAGGAACCGATGAATGATTCAATCTTTAAAACACTATTTTTTTGGTCAATGTCAAGTATCCATGGTATTAGAGAGTTCCCCCAACCACGTCCTGTACTATTTGATGTCGAGTATTGCTTTCCTTCGCTAAAGTATATCGGCTAAATTGACATATTTACCTCTTGTAAACAGCTTTACGCGGTAGTCGGTATGAGTATTACTTGGATGGAACTTTCAGACAAACTTCAAGGTCCTCACGCGACCACAACTCAGATCAGTGGTATGACAATGCTGTTCCCACACAAACCGCCGTAATTACGGCTACCATTGACTTGGAAGCAATTCAGTATAGATAAAAACGTTGATACGAAATTCTTGATGGAATAAAAGAAATTATTTCTTTGTGCATGACGGAAATGTCATCATTGCTACACGTCGTTATCTGGCGACGTGGTTAGGATGTCCCCAGTAATAGATACGTTTATGGGATGGACATTTCCGTTGTAATCACTGGTCACGTGACTGGCTAGTGATTGGTTAGTATTGACACAGGCCAGAGGCTGACACGTTAACAATCAGTCATTAGTTTTCAATCGATTAATCGTCTTAATTTGCAGTGCTAAGCTGGTGTGACCTTGTTTTAACTCTTAGCTTACATTACTTACCTTGACAGAAGAAAAAAAATAAAATAAAAAAATAAAAAATAAATAAATAAAAAGGCAAAGAAAAACCATATAAAAGCAGAATGTTATGAATAATCATGGATACGAAAAATGTTCGGCGAAGAAAGATTAACTAGCCCTCCACTTTCGAAACACTCCGATACCGAACAGACCAAAAAGGCTATGCGAAGATTATTATAGTTTTTCCCTTACTGTGTTTTCGTTTTTCGTAAGTGGCTGGTTATCTCTAAACTCACCGGCTAAGGTTTTAGCGATAGATATTAAAGATTTAGAAACGCCACTGAATGGCAAGAAAACAGATAAGCTATCAATTAGAACTTTTTCTTGCATTTCAAGAGCTGAACGACGCATACCAAGGGATATATACAAAAAAATCCGCGGCGAAGAAAAGTGAAAGATGATCAAGCGACACAAACACGGGAGCCAGAGATTCACATAATTTCTTAGTAAATATGTATAATCAAAGTAATAGGAATTGTCAAACGCATGGAAACTGAAAATGGAAAAGTTTCGCAATCCCTTTTTTATGTGGGGTATTTTGTGTAACGTGACCCCAGAACTAAACCGGCAGGATGGTTGGTTGCGGAAACAATTAACTTTGGAAAACAATGTGTCTAACGATCTTAATATGAGAAAAACAGATAAAGAACTTTTGGCTTGCTTTGCTATGACAAAGCTGTCCATTAGTGATTGTTAACTATAGTGGATGCGAATTAAGATCTATGGAAATGAGGCATACGAGTCAGCCAAAAATTGTCAGATAGAGTCAACAGGATTTGTTGCGATAGATGTTAGTACAGGCAGGTACATAGATACTGAACAACGGTTGTCTTTCTCAGGAAAATTCGAAGCTACTGGAGAAGACGTTGAAAGAGTGAACTTTCAATTAAAACTAATTAAGAGAAAATTGTTTTAATAATAACAATAATGGCAAAAAGCGCCAAAAACTAGACTTTCGTATGAATTTTGATCCCAATTTTCGTTTTGGGTTAACACTCAAAACCTTTTTTAAACAGTTAGAAACTGATGTACTATGATAAAATGCCTGTTCGAAGCGGCATTTTCAATTGTACAAAGATGTTTTGTTGCATTTGTGTTAGAATGTTGCTTTGTCAGGCTTTTTTTATAGAAAATATATGGGAAATAAGCATCGGTCATCTCCACTTCCAAACAAGTTAAACTTTCTGAATAACAAGATTTTAGTCTTGTACAACAGCCTTTCTTCAAGAAAATAGTTTTTGGATACGAAAAGAATTCTCTCTTAAGCTGATCCTCCATCGTGTTCTGTGACGCGAAATACTAGTTATATGAATAAGAAAAATAAGAAAATATGATCGAGAAATAGCTTCGGCATTATGATGAAGCTTAAGGGTTTGGATAAGATATACTTGGGAACTGAAGTCAATGATGGAGATATTATTATATCAGGGATTAAGATATTGGAAATCCAGGGATCGGGCTGCGCATGGATGGTACAAATATTACTAAGTATGACCAGGATCAGGGATTAAAATAAGCAAGAGGGAAATTAGATGATTAGGATATAAGATGTGGGAAAATAGCACGATCTGAAAGAAGCTATGAAAGCAATGGTGTCATAACTATAGTAATAAAGGGTCCGGCTATAGGGTCTAGAGGGAGGCTTTAGCACGCGCGTTTATTGGCGCGAATGTTCCCGCCAAATCCACAGGCACTATCATCCTGCATTCGTATAGCCATAGAAAGAACAATTTTAAAATATTAAATACGGCATTTCTACTAACCCAGTTAAGAAGTTCTTTAAAAACCTTTCGAACATTTTATGTCAAAGATAATACTTAAAATTAAATTTAAAAAAATAAAAGATAAAAAATTTCCCTAATCTACTCAGCCGATCGTGTACATAGGTGTGCTGTGCGGGTCAAGATAACGAAGAATGTAACAACAAATGTTTTATCAGTGCTGGTAGATATCGAGGGTGTTCAGCCGGATCTTTATCTATATTATTTCAGCCAGGCTGGATATTTTTTCTCTCACAATTGATTTCATTCATTCGGTTCGGCCTTGAATAACATTCATTTATTAATCCGATGTTGAATCTTTGCAGCCTCTTTGCATCTTTGCATACACTTTTGTTACAATATAAATGATTAACATAGCTTTGTGTTTTTCTAAAACTATATATAGGAGAATTGTCAGACACTGAAACATGTCAGGTTATAGATTTTAATCACAAGCGTGGGGTTTGTTTGTGAAGTGACAACTTTTTACTGCAAAAAAACTGAAAAATATCGACGTGACGCATTCTAATAGAGCTGCAGTACGTCATTGACTGTGACAAACGTCAAGTTACCATTAGTGCTCTTGCCATGACAGTTTCTTGTTTTATAGCGAAAACATCCGCACAAGGCGATCGATCGCAAAATCTGTCATCACAGGACGTTAAGTCGTCATAACCGAGCGAGCGGTCTGTTTTCCACAACCTACAGGGCAATCACACACGTAACATACTACATTTTCCATTCATACATCAATCCATCCGCCCGTCCATCCATCCATCCATCCATCTGTCCATCCATATCGTTCATCCACCCATCCATCCAATCCCCGTTCTTCCAGGGCGGTAATAAGCGCTTGCATGCCTTTGGTGGCGCAGGTAGGATTTTTTTGAAAGGGAGCGAGGGGGAGGGGGTGAAATTTAAAAATCCGCCATTTTGTTTGGGCCCTCGATACGTCAAACAAGGGCGGATGGGGG